CTTAGATAATCAGTAGAAACCTCAATGAATTTGTTTTTTTAATCATTTCACCCCAAGCAAGGCAATAAAGCAACTAAAATACAAGGGGTTACCAAATGTGACAGAATCTGTAAAAAAAATTTTATGAAGGAAAGAGAACAATAAAAAAAAAGAAATTAAGACAGAAGATAATTTTTGAAGATCAAAGTTGACTGGAAAGCAAGAAGTCAGAAGGTGAGAGAAGAAACTGTTAGCGTAGAACTTATGGTTACATCTAGCTATTTCAACTGGAAAACGAGGAGATCTTGTTGCCAAGCTAGTAGTGTGCTTAAATTCATAAAGTCTACATACCATCGAGGAAAGTAATATTTATTTTGCTTTAATAAAAAAAATAGTGACACAAGGCCAAAAAACAGGGATAGAGGAAGGCTGATCTTCAATCTGTCTTATCTTAAACTTAGCTTGCCACAATTACTGGCCTAAACATACCACAGTATTCCTTACACCAAGACAACACATTCTTACTTACCATTCTTACTACAGCCACCATAATATCTGAAAGTCTATGTAGTCCTAACTAGTCTCCATATGTACAATTTGTCAAAGGGGGGAATAAAAATAACAACATTTAAAAATGAAACCCCAATGAATATTAACAGTGAATACAAGTTATTTACATAGAGGAAAGTTCATCAGAACAATTACCATGAAAATATTTATAGAAAAGGCACAAAGAAGCCATGTTACAGTGATAGGAAAGTGACTAAAGCTGTGAAGAATCTCTAAATAGATAGCAGACCAGATGTAGTAGCAATATTCAATGCATCAATGAATGGTAGATTTATTATTGTGCAAATTCTAACAAAAAAATTGTCTAGCACAACACAGTAAACCAACTTTCCTAGCAGCAGGCCTAGCAATTGATTCAATATAAAATCTTTCCACTTCATGTTAGCAGGTTATACCATTGTAGACTTGTATCAGAATGTGACATATTTTATTTTCATTCTTTTGTCACCAAATGTAATAAACTTGTTCTCTCTGTGGATTGTACATGACATGTTTGCCTGTGAACATCTGTGCATCCATTTGATATGGAACAACCATAACTTCTGATTACTTGAACTTTAACACCTGTCTTTCACTATATGTCACTCATAATGAATTCAGTTTGATTCTTCAAATCAAGCTCTACTTCTGACATCATTCATCTACTAACCATTTATACCCTCACCTGAACACAAGTGGTAAGAGGAAACTATCCAGAAAGTATCTAACCATTTTGAATAACTTGACTGCCCACTCATCACATAAAGTGCAGGATTTTGGGCAAAATGTTTCATCACCCAAGTATGTTAGACACCTGCTCTACAGTCCAAATTTAGCTCCTGTGAATGCTGATTTTTCCTAAACCTAAAAATTATCATTGACAGGGAAGATATTTCAAAATGTCAATGAGGTAAAAGAGACAGTGACAACACAGCTAATGGTAATTTCTAAAAAAGACTTTGCAGACTATTTTGAAAGGTGGAGGCAATACTGGAATAAGTGCTTGAAGTCCCAAGAGAACTAAGGTGCCACTGCCTTAGGTAGGTAACTTTTGCTTTAATATTAAATGGCTGGATCATTTTTCAATAGGTGGTGTGTGTGAAGGCTAGGGTATTTGTCACTTGAGTTAGTGTCCAGTGTTCTAGCCAAGATAAACACCTGTATTTCAAACATTAATTTTTAAGCAAGGTCTCTCCACTTGTAGGACTAGTGTAACACAACCTTCCTTCTTGCTATGCATCTTTGTGCTAAGCTTACTAAAGTTATACAACACAAACTCATATTATCTAGATAGGATCTATATAATAGTAATGGTAATATTAGCCATTTCTTTATAAGAAAACAATTGACAGTCATTGACTGAACAGATAGTGTTGCTTTCAGTTTAAAGTTATAAAATCTTTTTTACTGTGAATATATGATAAAAACATTGACCTTATATTTTTTAAATAAAGGTGAAATATTGTTGCCATGAACTGCTATGTACTAGTAATGGTAATATCAGCCATTTCCTTATAAGGAAATATTCAGCTTTCACTGACTGAACAGAACTACTTTCAGTTGAAATTTATAAGATCTTTCTATTAAAACAATTTTTCATGAAAATAGGTTTCTTAAGTACAGTAACTGTTATCACTCTTTCCAGTACTGATGAAGGCTTCCTTCCTAAACTTATTTGAAGTAGAATAAAACATCAACATTTTCCTTATTTTCTCTTAGAGTTGCATTTGATATCCATTTTAGTTGTTGTTGCCACTGAAAGTCTTCAAGTGATGTCATTTCTATTATATTGTACAGTTCTTTGCCATTCTATAGTGCCAGTCCACAAGGTTTGAATAAGGATAATCTTCATTAAGACGTACAGTTTTCATTCACTCAAGGTCATCTTAACCATTGATCTGAGCTTAGCTCATTTTGTAAAAAGACTAAATGGAGGAAAATAGGGGTAGGAAAACTATGTTACATCAGTGTTCTAAATGAAGAGAGCTTAACTGACTCAAAAATCAAGATTTGAAATCCTAGCTTTTATCTGGATTTGAACACAAAGCCATGAATCCAGCCAAGAAATATGCAACTGTTTCAACCAGAAGGCAACGTTCCTTAAATACCTGTTGAGATTTGAACTTAAAACACAAAACCAGTTGAAGGGTAAAAAATTTTACACATTGTACCAAATGAAAAGAACCTGGCAAACTAGAAAAAAAGCATTTGAAATCCTGGCTTTTACTTGGTCTTGAAAACTAAACCTCTGGCAACAGTATTAGATATAAAATTATCTCAACCAAGTAAGTGTGTGGCTCAGTTTATAGTTAAATATGCTGCAGTACCAATTGGTAATTCATGTATGTTGCTATTATGCAATGTAAGTACCAGATACCAGCTTTTGCTTGAGACTTACATGCAAAACAATCGAGACACAGTTACCTGTTCCATTATTTTAAACTTATAACCTCAGCAACCTCCATTCTTTCATTTGTATATATCTACCCAATACTCATTCTTCATCATAAATAATATAAAGTCTGACTGAAGATACTGAATGAAGCAGAAAAACATTTGCACCATAGAGAACTTTTTCAACTTAATTTACTCTCTCTTCCTGACAATAGCACAAACTTCATTGATTTGTCCCATATCCAACAGTCATAATCAGGCTTCCTATACATACAGTGCTTTTTTGCCCAAAGTCTTGTTCAGTTCAGTGGGTTTTTTTTTCTTATTTTGTGAGGAAGAATCAACAACACAAAGAAAAACTCATAAAAACCACAGGCCTCCCAGGTATGACATAATTGGAATTGGTCAAACAAATGCAAAATGAATCATACATGACAAACTCCTGGGTGTTGACTCCACTGGAAGAATAGACACTGCAAACAACTATTATGCGTAAGTCGTTCAAAAAGTTTTCTTTCAATGTGGTCAACAACTTCCATATCACAGAGGATAACTCTTCTTGCTAATATAGTTTACTGATCTTTACTTGTATGCATCTAGCAAACACTGACAGCTTTTAAAGAATTCTTGACATAGAGACCTTATTAATTTCTCAAGTTAAGAGACAAAATTGTGGTTGGTCAGAAAAGAAAGGTCAGATGTACATAGTTACTAAAATGGCAGTCATTGTCAACAGACACCAATTCATCTTTCAAAGAAGTCTGATCTTAAACTTGGAAATAGAATGACAATTTGATCTTATCTGATATTTTCTTCTTGGGTGTAATCAAATTCTCATTTTACCACATTACACATTGATAAAGACTCAAACTAAAATTATAGATCAACCAATCTTTAATGTTAAGCACAATGATTGGACATGACTAATGCTGGTGTATGTATATATATATATATATATATATATATATATATATATGAGAAAAATATAATTTTAAGGTATGCTATATTTATCAGTAAAAGTGCTCAATATCAGGGATAGAGCATATGTAAATATAAAAATGAACACTGAGGTCAACACCTAGTGGTGACAGGGTTTTATGCTTGAACACAATCTTCAGGCCATGTGTATTGTGTGGTGGTTGGACTATTTAATTATGATGGTCAATTATGGGTAGCAAGGTCAGATACTTTATCTTTTTGTTATCTCTTCTAAACATTGTTCTGCCATCCATTTACTCGAGTTTGCTAAGAAGATTAAGCATAGTTTTTCTGTCTCTCTTGCCTTCAATATGTCCTGTGAGTTAAAAATTTTACAAAATGAATGCTAATCTCAAAAATTATTCCCCATCTTGTTTTTTTTTGTGGGGAATTGCAAGTGAACCAATATATTTAAGCAATGCTTACTTTTTCAAGATTTGCTTCATTTCAGTTTGTCAAAAATCAACAGTTGGCTTTCAAGTGAAATTTCACCATGTTGAAAATGCAAATATCACTTATACACTTGTGTTTTGTTTTTTTCTTGTTGATTTTTTTAATGCCTAAAGCTTCTTTCTTAAAAGCTTCTTGAAGCATGACAACAGTTTCAGCAACAGTTTTTCCCAGAAGGAAACAAAAACTTCATATGCACTCTCTTTTTTTGTTTTTATCAGCTATCTTGTGTGTGGGTGGGGTAGGGAGGATGCATGCTAGCAAACAGCAAGAAAAAAAAAAGTCACATGAAAAACATCACTTAATCTAGAACTATGCAATATGGCAGACTAGTGTGGAACAGTGCCAACTTATGAAATTTACTGGTATATCGATTGATTGATCAATTTGTTTTTTTATCGCTTATCAACCCAATGCAGGTTATTGAAAAGCCAGAAAATATTTTTTTAGATTACAAGAATTTTTTAGAGATAACAATGCTTTACAATTCCTATTATTTAATAAAAAGCTGGAGGTGGAAGAGGTGGATTTATACCTTTCCCAATGGTATTTGCTCATCGGTTATTATAACGAATCCAACTGGAATTGGATCTTAGCCCTCCAATTTCCGATTCTGAGCTGCTATCCACCACACCACCTGCATATCCAAGCTGATATTCCCAAGCAGTACCTATCTAGGTACTGACCAGGCTCAACATTGCTTAACTTTAGTGATCAGATGAGAACTGGTGTTTCAACATGATAGGGCCATAAGCCTTTTCCAGGTAAAATGTGAAACTATGTTTAATTCACATGCCTTTTATGGAGGTACTCCCTTTTATATTGATAGAATATTGGTTATTTTATATTAGTCTCTAAAGAGTCAGGATGTTAAGTGAATTTATATTAAAAAAAAAATGCTGTTTATATAAAAGAAAGGAACAATATGAAAAACCTGTTTTATTTTGCCTGAAGAAATCAATGGGCCATTGTTGATTCATGAATAGATTCCTTCATCATACAAACAGTACATATAACAGTTTAACCAAATTAACAAAATAATACAGAGGGTTATTTGACTTATGACAGAGTTTCGTTCCTACAATATGTCATAATGTGATTTTCCATGTAAGTTGGAACACACCTGTAATTTCACTTCCATGGTAATGTCTTTCCTCTTCTCTGAAACACTGCCATCAGAAGAAGTTACACTATGCTTGGGAGCAATAATGAAGGGTACTAAGTTTCCAAAACACAACACAAATGAAAGAGAATGCACAACAATCCAGTATGGTGTACAACTAGGAAAGAGACTGCAATGTAGCAACAAATCATAACCCAGAGCTTTACTATAATAATAAAAAACTTTTTTCCCCCAATCTTTACAAATTTCAGGTAAGATTTTTTTTCAAAATTATCTACACTTACTATAAAGGTTGATTAATATTCCTACAGAATTGAAAATAAACCAAAGCCTAAAAGAAACTATTATACCCTATTAAACCCACATACCTTAAGAGGTATGTGAATAAAAGTAAAGAAACATCATCAGTTCTAATACAAGTAAATTCTTCTATCATGTAGGTTTGAGTATTTATTTAACGTCATTTAACATAAAATTATTTACTGCAAGCTTTAAAAAAGTAAAAATAAGTAACTAAGGAATGTCAGTCAAACTTTAAATATTTGAGCCTTCTAAATATGGCAGACTTAAGCAGGTGGGTGACAGAACATGGTCTGGGTGAGGAAGCAGAGGGAAGGAACTTGTTGAGAGCTGCAAGGGATGGTGGAGAGCCATGATCACCTACGTCTTGAAAGGACATGGCACATAAAAAGAAAAGAAATATAAAGGGGAGGTATTGTTTAAGTAACAAGTTTTCAGCACCAATTTTTTTTTTCTTTGTCAAGAAATAGAAAAATAAAAGCATCCATTCATAACTCAACCCATTTTTCAGCTTTTATGTCTAATCTCATTTTTTTAACAGTGAGAATTACTAAATGGTTCTTATCAAGTATTTTTTTTTTCCTGGCAATGAACAGTACACTTTATCCTAAATTATGTCATGTCTGCCTCAGTTACTGGATAGATCATATCAGTTGATCATTTTGGGATTATTATCAATATGAAATCATTTTGAAAGCACTTAATATATTTGACATAGCAATCTTTATTCCAGTATTCAAACCAAAAAATACAGTGATATGAATAAAATACAATGATCAATATAAGTATTAGAACTTCATATTTCTGTCAGTGATATTTGCACCAATTCCTGACCACTAACAATCCCTTTCTTTCAAATATTCAATGTATTTCTATAGTGAAATCATTAGTAATGAATTTACATTGTACATATAATAGCATTATATGTAATGATTGCATTAATTACTGAACAGTGACAATACTTGTTATTTTCGATGCAAAACACATACACTGAATGCCAAAACATGCTAAAACAAATTTTATGTAAAAAGTTCTGTGCTTCAAATTGATTTTACCCTTACTACTAAAAATATTGTACAAAAATAGTCAAGTGAGGAAAAATGCATATGAAAGAATTGAAAGATCTGCTATAAATAGCATTATTGTTTAAGAAGGAACAGTTTGAGTGAGAATGTCTTCTCAATAATCTTGCTAACCCCAACACTGAACAATTTTAATCTTTCTAGAAATCTCCAGTCTCTTTAATTTCACCCTCATCTTCTATAGTGTCTTTGTTCTTAATGGTAGGTTCTTTGTTTTATTTTGAACTTTGCCTTGTCTGTTGGAAAAGTCACATTCAAATCCGTTTCTTATTCTGCTTGTTTGTATGTGCAACCATTATGTTTTTCTACCTAGGAGGATCTGCATAGGCTTACAGTCATCATGATCAAACATCAGTTCCCATTTGATCACCAAAGTTAAGCAACATTGAGCCTGATCAATACCTAAATGAGTGACTGCTTGGTAATAATAGGTGCTGTAAGCTTGGCTATATTGGTGGTATAATGGATAATGACTTGGAATTGTTAATCGGTGAGCCAAGTTCTAATTCCAGTTGGGTTCATTATATTCATTTATATGCATAAACATTTGTGCAAGGTATGAATACACCTCTCCTCCCCTCAGTTATAGGTTAATTAATAAGTCTTGTATCACTAAACCATCATTATCCCCTAAAAAAATTCTTACACTCTAAAAATGCTTTCTGGCTTTAAAAGGTTGGTAAGCCATAAAAAATAAATTAATTGAACAAAAAAATTATCAGAGTGTAGTATTTAACCAATACCTGACTCTTCTGGGCTGGAATTGGTTACATGATCTAACAAAGAAATCTACATAAAATTAAGCAGGAGAGATTTGGGAAGTGAGAAAGAGGCAAGGGAAGGAGAAAAGAGAAGAGGGAGGTTAAGAGAAAACATAAGAAGTTAAAAAAGCTAGAGAATTATGAAAAGATCAGGTGAAAGGAAAACACACACACACACACATATATATATATATATATATATATATATATATATATATATATATATATATATATATATATACACACACACACACAAGTGAACATTGAGGTCAATGCCAAGTGACAAAAGTATTTCATGCTTGTGCACAATCTTCAGACATAGCCTAAAGATAGCATTCAAGCATGAAACAGACTGTCACTTCCTGGTGTTGACCTCAGTGTCCACTTTTATATTTGCATATGCTCTATCACTGATATTGAGCACTTTTACCCATAAATATAGCATACCTTATAACTATATTTTTATCATATATATGTGGGAGAAGGAGAGTGTGACAAAAGAATGATATACAGAGACAGGTTTACTGGTTGGATATCAAATGATAATAAACAAAAGATGAAAGGCAGATAGGAATGGAAAGACATAAGATGACAGTCAGTTATGTGCCATGCAAGATACATGCAATCATGTATCTTTTTGATACATGACTGACAAAACAGATTTTTTCCCGCAATAGGTTGCCATTTCTTTCTGTGGTAGACCAGTTGCCATCCAAGGCTATAGAACTCAGTCTGTCCTGCTATTTACCCATAGCTGGGAGGAGAAGAAGAGGATTCATACCTTTCCCAAGGGTATTAGCACATAAGTGAATGTAATGGATTCGACTGGAATTTGAACTCAGCTCTCCAATTCCTTGATCCAAGCTGGTATCCATTACTCCACTGTGCCCCCATAAGATGACAACACATTAAAATTCTTTCAACACTCATGGAATTTGAATAGATTCAGCTAATTGTTATAGCATTTTTTTTTTATTTTCTTCTAATTACTTTTAATTACGATTATCATTCTGATGAGATTTATTTCTTCATTCGATACTGAAGTATTCTAGAAGCAATGTTTAATGTATGTTCAACTTCAGTAACATGTTAAAGAATGGACCAAGAAATAGAGGAAAAGATATCAGAAAAAATATTTACATTTGTTTTATACAATGTTGGTACTGATAGTAGAGTTGATAGATATAAGACATATTCAATTCTTAGATTGGCTGTTTTGGAAGAAAAGAGAGAAAAAAAATGTTGTTAAAAGAAATTGCTTATGAAAAAAAATTTGAAAAGAAGTTTATATGAAATTTATAAAGATAATGGTAAAGATGATTTCTTGAACAAAGAAAAATTTGCATAATGGAGACAAGAACAGATGATTATGGTGTTAAAATTTGATCTCAAATTGTCCATCCGATGACAAAAGTTTTCAACTTCAGTTCATCATGATATTTTACCTTGTGACACCTTATCTATTATAATTATGGTATGGTTACTCCATTATTAAGTCAGTTTTATTGATTTTTTTAGTGGGTGGGAGTATCATCAATAATAAAACTGATTCACTGGATTGAGAGAAAGCCGTAATTTATAGTGCTTCTCTTTTTGATAGTGAAGGACAAGGATTTCAAGAGGGTGAATTCAGTCAACCTGAGAGAGAGGGTGGAAGAATGATTTATAATTCCAAAAGTTGTCTTGTGTAATAAGAGATAAGGAACACAAGACAAAGAGCTAAATGGTTAGAAAAATGACTGGCATCAGCTTGGGAAGGTAGGAAAATGTTAATATGCAAGGTTAGCAATCATAGAATAGCGGAGGTTTTGAAGAGAACAAGATTGAGATGGTCAAAAGAGATGTGAAGGAAGAGATGTGAAGGAAGAGATGTTTAAATTGAATGAAGAAATATCTGAAGTGTTAAGAATAAGATCAAAGGGGCAGGTGGGTCAGATATATGAAAGTAACGGCAAATCTTTGAATAAATGAAAATTGTGATAAAAAAAATTAGAATTTAAAAAAATATTTTTTAAGTTCTAAATAAATAATAAACTCAAAACTACTCAAAAATTAATAATAATGATAATGCATTTATATAAGAGATAATCTTGAGTTGTCTAAATATATATAACTAGATGTGAACAAACTACAAATCATAAACAGATAATGAAGAAGATATATGATTAAATCAGAATGATGTCTGTTGTTTGGCTTTTGTAGATTAATTGGTATGGAATTGATCATGAGAGACCGGTTCTTAATAAAAAGAAATATGTTCAACTCTCATTTGTGGTTAATTCTTTACTTATGATCCATGCAGCTTACTTAACGGTCATATAATGTAAAAATCAATAAAAGTAAAGTGAAAAGAAAAACTCGTCAAAAATTCATAATAAAAACCTATGATAATGTTCACAAATATACAGACACAAGAATAAAGTTAGAAAAATTACTATTTAAATGGACTTTTTACAATGAATCCATTTGCTTGAAATAAACAGTCAAGCTTTCGGGAAATGAATCAATAAAATAAAATTTTTTTTAGGCCATTTTGCTTTTATGAGCAATGATTTTCAAGTTTTTTTCGTATTTTTTATTTGTTTTCCATTTGAGCACGTGACAAAAGAAATTTATCCATTTTTTACTTTACATAGATAGGCAACAATTTGTCAAGTCGTAACAGATGGCTTTCTATAACAATAGCACTAAAAATATTACATTTGAATTTATTGAGTGCCTTTTTCATGCTAAAAAATTTAGTGTAGTTTCTTGGCATCTTTTCAATCCATTTAACTTTTTTCATTTTTTCATCCAAACTTTCAAATGATAAAAATCTATATAGATTTATGAAACTACAGTGTTTATCTAATTTTATCAAAGAGTAATAAAACATTATTATAATCCTTACAATAATATTATAATCTGCTATCAATTTAGAGATTCTTGATGAAATACAAAGAAGAATCTGCAATGTTATTGGTCCTGATCTGGCACCTCAGCTTCAGTAACTTTCCTACCATAGCTTCCCGGTGCCTTTTCTATAAATATTTACATTGTAATTGTACTGATGAACTTTCTTCTTTTGCAGTTTAACATTATGAATTCATGCACAGTACAAGATTGGCAGCAAGGTCTCATCATTTTACAGTTGAAATTGCTAGATGTAACTGTTCTATGCTAACACTTTCTTTTATTCCACTACTTGCTTGTGGAACTCTCTTCCGGGTTTTTTGAATTCAACTTTGATCCTCAGAAATTTAAATACATTGTCAATCGTTATCTTCTATCTTCTTAATTCCTTTTCTTTTATTGTTCTCTTTCCTTAATGCTTTTTTCACTCATATTCTCTCACACTCAGTCACTCCTTGCATCTTAGTAGCTTTATTGTCTTTGTTAACTATGTGGTCTTGACTCTTGTGGTCCTACTAAGGATTGAAGTCACCATCGTTGGCTAACAAATTTCTGGAGATATTAGACTCCCACTTTTCAGCTTAATGGATGTGTTCTAAGCAGTGGCAGTAGCTGGCTTGTCTCCCTTCTTCCTAAAGTGGATTTAACCTTATTTAATTTTACCAAAATTTCTCCTCAGTAAATATTTTTCTATTTTCTGCTGTCAATCAGTTTATTGAACAAGATCCTATTTTGTCAGTTTTGATTGGGGTGAAATGATTATATATATATTATATTATATCATATTATAGATGCCAATTCAAGATTTCTTCTAAGTGAATGGTACCCTGTAACACAGTATTACCTATCCTGTGTTAATTGGAAAGAAGATGAGCAAATCCAAGAGAGTCCTTATATCCTAGAGAGACCATGACAGAACCAGCCTGACATCTCTGTGATTTTCACAATCACTAGACTAACCAAATCTGTAACCTCGTATTATGTTACCTGGAGAAGTGTGTTCAAGTTGAAGTTCATTCAATACATGATATCCATCTTTTCTGCTGAGGTCCAACTTGCTCCAAGGGTAGATAATCCCTCCTTTTATCAAAGAAATAACCAAAGCTTGGGTGGGGGGAAGAGGATTCATACCTTTCCCAATGGTATTAACATATAAGTAAATGCAATAGATTCGACTGGAATTTGAACTCAGCTCTCAAATTCCTCAATCCGAGCTGCTATCCATTACTCCATCGTGCCCCCTCTGTCTTAATATCAACTTGTAATCTTTTGTTACTAACAATTCTTGAGGTTTGTAAAATGTTTATTAGTGACACATTGCCAGTATAGCATTGAAGTGGTGGTTATGTGTTCAGTCCCAAAATCCCTTGTACCAAAGAAGCAATTTAAATTCCGCAAGATCATTCCCCTTGTTCTTGAAATATCTTTAAAGTTACTTGGCAATCTCCTAACAAAAGGGAGTCACTATGTGTATAATACAAGATTTTATGTTTTTTCAAGTGGAAAAAAAGTCTGTATTCTGCTTTTGAAAAATGTGTAAAATTCACTCTTGAAAAAAACTTCAACAGTTAATATGATAATTCACAAGTAAATATACAAATGAAAAATTAATAAAATAGGATAAAAAAAGATTTGTCAAAGTAATAATGTTGTTATAAATTAAACAGAGTATTTAAGTTTTTAGGAGAACATAACACATGGCAAAGTCTTTTTTAAAAAGTTGGCTTAAAAGTTACATTTAATTATTTGGAAGTCGTATAGAGATATTCCACAAGAAATTTTTGTTCT